AGTGAAACACAACAGACAACAGGAAGCTCTGAAGAAAGTCCACTTGGAACAAACTGAGAAAATGTTAGCAGAGAACCAGAAGGTAAACACTGAGAATCTAGGACTGTTAGTAATTAGCCATTACATTTGTAAAGGTGTTGTAGAGCTGTCTTCTCTCTGTTGTAACATCTAATTATATCATCTTGTGTTTCAGGCTATTGAAATGATTGAGATGGCTTATGAAGAAGCCAAGATGGGAACTAAACCAGAGACTGACGTATAAGCTGCTCAACACTAACTGGAGATCATAAAAAAACATTTTCAGTCCTGTTTTTTTGTTTTTTTTAAATCTGTGGCAGCGTAATGAAAAAGTAGAGGGTACTGTTTCAGATTTCCTCCCAACATTCTGCTGTGGAAACATTTAGACCTAGTCATGGCAAGATGTCTCAGCCTGGAGGACAGTCACTATTTTGTGTGTCTTAGTTTTCCAATGCTACTGTGTGCAGCTCTACTGACCTTCTTGTTTTGTTGCATAATATAGCTGTCAGTGTATATAGAGTAGGCTGATGTATATATGTGCTGGTCAGGAATTCACATCCAAAGAAAAGTTGACTTGTCCAGTGACTGACCATTTTGTTATTTATTTTGTCTTGAACAAACTTTGTACTATATTTCATAAATCAGACACACATTTTGATGACATGGACTGGTCATTGTGAAATAGAAATTTCAAGAATGTTATAAATGAATTTTTTTTTTAAAGTCATCTTTCTCCAGCAGATTAATTCCTTTCATTTAGTAACTCATGAACTAAACCCTTTGATGTTCCATTGACTTGACTGACCCCTCTGATTGACTGACTCCACCCATTTACTGACTACTCAGCATCACTTTAAAGTCATAATGTTCATTAAGCTGTTCCCTCCCAGCCATTGACTGACTCCACCCATTGACTGACTACTCAGCATCACTTTAAAGTCATAATGTTCATTAAGCTGTTCCCTCCCAGCCATTGACTGACTCCACCCATTGACTGACCACTCAGCACCACTTTAAAGTCATAATGTTCATTAAGCTGTTCCCTCCCAGCCATTGACTGACTCCACCCATTGATTGACAACTCAGCACCACTTTAAAGTCATAATGTTCATTAAACTGTTCCCTCCCAGCCATTGACTGACTCCACCCATTGACTGACTACTCAGCACCACTTTAAAGTCATAATGTTCATTAAGCTGTTACCTCCCAGCCATTGACTGACTCCACCCATTGACTGACTACTCAGCACCACTTTAAAGTCATAATGTTCATTAAACTGTTCCCTCCCAGCCATTGACTGACTCCACCCATTGACTGACTACTCAGCACCACTTTAAAGTCATAATGTTCATTAAGCTGTTACCTCCCAGCCATTGACTGACTCCACCCATTGACTGACTACTCAGCACCACTTTAAAGTCATAATGTTCATTAAACTGTTCCCTACCAGCCATTGACTGACTCCACCCATTGACTGACTACTCAGCACCACTTTAAAGTCATAATGTTCATTAAACTGTTCCCTCCCTGCCATTGACTGACTCCACCCATTGACTGACTACTCAGCACCACTTTAAAGTCATAATGTTCATTAAGCTGTTCCCTCCCAGCCATTGACTGCTGCTGTTGTACACTTAGCTTATATCTGTATTTATTTCTGTGTGTCCAATCCAACCAATGCATTGATTCCATTTTGTCTGCTTGATATCTAGACAACTATTTCTTGCCATTTACAATTGTTGTTCTGTGAAACTTATTATACCATGTAATAGCTACAGCTGAGACAACTCAGTACTTAAGAGTCTGTACTGGTTTCTAATGCTTTTTTTTTAGCTTTCTCTTTGTTCAGTTGGTCTGTCCTGGTAGGCCTACTATACCTGTTTAGTATTCCTTGATACCTTCGTAAACTTTGAATATGTTCAAGATCAACCCATCAGCTAGGGATAGAATTTTTTTTTTTTTTTAGTATAAATATTTACACATTGCTTATCAAAGGAACAAAAAAAAGATTTGATACAATTTAATTGACCAGTTAGGTGACACTTTTGAAGAAAACTCACCTGGCTTTATGATTTCACCTAAAACAAAATGTCTCCTTGTCATTTATTTGGGTCACACAATATGGCCACTAGCGTAAACTGATTTATTGTAAATCTTCAAAAAATTATTTATTGACTAAAATTGTATTCTTTTTTTTTTAAATATATCTCACAAATTGTGTCCAAATAGGCACACAGCATTGTGCTTTAAATAAGCCCAGCATAACCTAAAATTGTCTAGGTGAAGCAGATGTGTTTTAGGATACCTTGAATACTTTTTTTTTTCTTTCACTGTCATGACTATGTGACGTCTCAGCCAGTATTTTACTTGTCATATTTGACATTGTAACCTTTCTAGAATTTAAACAAGTTTTTGTTGTTTTTTTTACTTGTTTGTTTCCGTTGCTTTTTTTTTTTTTTTCATTCAATACTTGTTTTGTGATGATACTATTTCTTGTTCATTAAATTGTATACATGAATTCCTATTTATTGTGAACATTAGAATCTCTCAGAGCTTTTCAAAACTATACTTTCTATTTACTCTTCTAAATAGAATCTCAGAGCTGTTCTCAAAAAATAATCTTTGCATTAACTCTGTCCAAAGAAATAAGAGCTGTATTCAAATTGTCTATCTATATATACCTTAAAGCCCTCCCTGACTGACTCGTTGCTAATTCTTTCCCTTGGGCTGGAGGATGAAAATGTATATATTTACTCAAGCAAAAAGGATCTCTGAGCTCTTATTATCAAAAGATGGTTGTCTCTGGGGTTAAGTCTGCCATCTATGACTATCTCTAGAACATCTTTCAGTTTGTACTTGAGGAAATTAAGACACTGTGATATTTGTTTTTTTTTAGGAGTTTTATGTTTATTTAATTAAAACGTTAGTGTGTGTGTTTCTTGTCCAACACCAAACATGGACACTGGTTTTGAGTTTGTGTGTAGCTCTTTCAGAATGGATGAGTTTCAATTGTTTCATGATTTTAATCATCTCATTGAGATTACCAGTTGAATGGTTCTGGTAGCAATCTCTTTCAAAGCCCTATTTTAGTAGTGTTCTTATAGTTCAGTGATTGATTCTTTTGTGATTTTCACCTGGCCATTACATTTAGTTCAGATTTCAGCACATAAATCAGCTAGAGTGTGGATGTTACATGAGATACCAGCAATACAAAACTTTGCAGCCAGTTGATACAATGTGACAGCAATAAATAATAATATGAAGACACAAGTCTGTGAGTTAAATAGTACCAATTACAATGAAATGATTCACACACTGTTCTGTAGTAACTAAGACTATTAGGATTTTATCACTCTTAGTCGACTAGCAGGAAATGTTGTATGGATGTTTAATCAAGTTTATTTTAAAATGAATTATTATTATTATTAATATTCAAATCCATTCCCAGTGGATACTTGGTATTACAGTGCATAGGGACAGTTCTATTTATCTGCCATTGATATTTGTTCAGCTCTAAGTAGATTTGACTGGAGTTTTTGTTATGATCACATTGAAGTCACCAATAAGTGATCTAGTCAGTGTGCTGTTGTTTGATCAGATGTTGTCAGAAGTGTTGGTCAGTAAAGTGAATGATTGACAGTAACAAAGGACAGTGCTGTAGATTAGTTGTGTATTTATTTTTTAGTTGTGTATTAATGGCCAGTTCAGTAAATGTCTGTTCAGTTAAGGAATTTTCAAGATAGCAACATCAATCAATAATTTTTCAAGCAGTTATATATAATATATAAATCATGTGGTATGAGTGCTGGACTGTCATTTGGTATTCCCAATAGTCCTGGGTTCAAACCCTGCCTGCTGCCATCCCTTGTTGTTCTGCAGGAGGTTTGGGGCTAGATTATCTTCAACTCTAAAGGAACATCCAAAACTTGTCAAACATTCTAAATCATAAAGTGAGCTGTGAATTTGCCATACCAATCATTTCTAGTTTAAACTTTGTTAATCAACTGCTCATAGTGACTTAGTATGTATCAGCTTGGATATTTCTGCTAAATATCTCAGCAGCTAAATCTAATGCTAATGAACTATGTGTGAATTCGTTTTTTTCCATCAGCTGAATTTTATTTTATGTTTATCCTTATTGTGTTGCTCAGTTGACTTAGATTAATATCTTGATTTGTATTGTGCAGTTGAATGAAAACAATAACGTTCTATGTGCTTTTGTTAGTCATTGCATGAAATCAAATGAACACCATCAATGGAGAAAATCAAATTAACTTAATAATATGGTAACAAAAATATTTTAAAATTTCAATCAGTTTGAGCTGGGAAATTTTCTGGCTGCTAATCAGATTAGAATATTCTAGTCTTATTGTATAGGCTCTTAAACAACTACTTTTAGCTAATCCTAGTGTTACAGCTTTTATTGTCTTGTTTAGTCACTTGGTGAAATATTTTACTTTTGGTGATACTTTCATGAAGGCAGATCAATGGGCCATCACTCCTGAAGGTGATCAAGTCATATTTGTGTTTTAATAATTATAAAGTTGTATCAGTGTTCTTCTAGAAGTCAACTGTCACTTAGCACTATCCACTTTCCTGCTAAGTCTGGTCAATAGATCTACTTAACTGGACATTTAATAGCGGCTGTTGGTTAAGTGACTGTTGACTTTAACAGTGTTGACTACTATGTTAGCGCAGTCTATCAAGAAATTGTTTTTTTAATGATTGAATTGAATGTTGAAAAAAAAAATTATTTAACTTTCTATCAGACATGATCTCTCTTTCACTTGCTTTTTATCTCCCTTGCTTTCAAGTTTGTTTTTTCTCTGATTCTATATTTTAGTCTCATTTTTTTTCTTACAATTTTTTTTCGATTTTCTTGATAATTCAAATCTCTCAGCCAATGAAAAATTATGACATAACATGACTCACAACCTGGCCATGTGCAATAATAAAAACTCTTTTCTTTTTTGTTTTCTAATTCTCTCTCTCTCTCTCTCTCTCTCTCTCTGTTTTGTTGTGCACCAGAACTTATTTCAATAAGGAGAGATAGCTCTCTCTTCAGATGTTGTTATGTATCACAAAATAAAATGTTGCTCTCCAGATTTGACTGGAAGTGTAAAGCATTGATCAGACACAGTATAGCTCTGTCCTCTCTCTGGAACACCAGGTCTTAGGTAGATCTAGCAAGAGCTCATTTGAGAATTAAAATGGAACCTAATCAATTATGCAAACAGTGCTCCATATTGTGAATATTTTTTTACAATAGAATTTAGACTAACTTTTAAATGTCTTTAGCAATACAGACGCTTGTCTATGTCTTGTGGAATACAGACTTGCTTTGTCTATGTCTTGTGGAATACAGACTTGCTTTGTCTATATCTTGTGGAATACAGACTTGCTTTGTCTATGTCTTGTGGTAAAAGTACATTTGTTAAAATCTTTTTCATGACAAATGTTTCTTTTCTTGAGTGGTATTAATCCGTCTCTCTGTTTGTTTACATTGATTTAAAAATTGTTTCATATATCAATATTCTACTCATGAATAATTTATTCAGTTTATAAATAATACAAATAGGCAAACAATGTCAATAATCATCAAACTGTCTAACGATGAAGACATGGCCAGTCATTTTATGTTTGCTTAAAAAAAAGCTGTAATCATCTGGCCTCTCCAGCAATGTATGATTATCAACTGGCTCAAATCATCTGGCCTGTCCAGCAATGTATTTATAATTAATCACAATTATCTGACCTGTCCAGCCATGTATGATTGTATAGATGCCCACAATCATCTGACCTGTCCAGCTATGCATGATTGTGTAAATGTCCATGATCATCTGACCTGTCCAGCTATGCATGATTGTATAATTGTCCATGATCATCTGACCTGTCCAGCAAGGTCTGTATAAATGTCTATGGTTAGCTGGCCTGTCTAGCAATGTATGATTGATAGATTGTAGATCAGTGTACAAATATTTTCAATCTTACATACTCTTTGAGAACACCACATCTCTTGTTCTACCACAAGACTGTGGTCTAGTCAACAACTCTGTTTCTTCCCTTCCTATGCTCATAATTAGCAGTCATTGTTCTCTACCATTTGGACTCAGTATTTTTGTTGTTAATTGTACAATGTGTATATTTCTGTTTGGAATCATGTTTTTTTTTTTCTCTAGTTGTCTGCCCTTAGTTTCTGAATCTGTGTAGTAGGAGTTTTTCAGCTGACAGATTGAATGTTTAGAAGAAATAAAAATCTATTTGGTTACTGGTAGCTTGACTTTCACTTTTAATCGTTTGTGTTACTGGGAGAATTCACTGGGAACACACGGGCATACACCAGCACACACCATACACTTCCATACACACACTCACACATGCAGTGTATTTCTGCCCTCTGCAACCCAACTCATTGACATTTAAAGGTGAGCGATGGAGGACTGGTTAGGTTTACGATGATTGAAGAGGGGGGGGGGGGCTATGATCAGGTCAGTCCTCAAACCGCCATCAAATATTTAATATATGGTCTAATGTATGACAGCCTCATTCGTACGAGTTTACTTAGGCAAGTGATCAGTGGCAGTCCAATACACTTGATGTCCAGATGGAAGAACACGCAGTCGACACACCATCCACACTAGAGTGGTCCTCAAACTGACTTCGTCATTCTATCATACTAAGACAATTCAAAACAACAATCTTCAAACGAAACAATACGTCCCTTTCAGTTTGACCACACTTCACTTCATAGTATCGCCTACGTGACTAATTGATTGCTTGGGTACTAACTTGTGTACCAACAGTTCTCGCGTTTCTGTCAACTTGAAACATCGAGAACAATCAGAAGTAAAGAAAATATATTTAGCTTCCAACATTTTTTATTTCTCTCTGATTTGTTCACCTTGAAGTTCTGTACATTTGATAAAGACAGGAAGTCGCTTGGATCTATGTGATCTAACGCTGAGCCAGGATAAGAGTTTTGAAAAAGGCTCTGGTCAAGATCATAAAGTGCGTTGCTTCATACTAAAGATAGACCCTCTATCCCCTTATCCCATGGATTACAGAGACCATTCGCAGCCAGCTGCTTTCCTCTATACCAGTGAGGGGAAAATATCGCATGAGTTATTGCTCTTTCTGGAGGGCACCTCCGTTTCGCCGTTTTACTTTAAAGCTTTTAGAACGTGTCGTCTCCCCGATAAGTGTATATCTGACCCGGCGCAGCTGTCGAATGGTAAGTTGTGCACACCGTACCAAGGCCGGGGAGGACACGTTTGAGGCCTCAAGAAAAGCCCTGGCAGAAGACGACCAAAAGAAATAGACCCACCCTCCCAGGCGGACAATGGCTTTGTCAGCATTAGATGTGACAAAATATGCAGTTCACAACTACACTCATACTTCGAAATCGAAAACATTGCCATTATTATAAAGGAATACGAGAAGTACACCCTGCTGTTAGAGGGTTGACCTACGAACTTAAGGAGACTTGGAAGCATTGCTTAGCAAGCCAGTTCAAATCGCCACTCGTCTGTTCTACTGACTGCATTACCTAGATACGCCCTTGCTTACACGGTCCAATTTTATCCATTTTGACAAAAATATTCTTTTAGCATATTTTTAAATTTGAAAAAAATTTGATTGATTTGTGTCAATCTTCTATAATTAAAAGTTTAAAGCACTCCTACAGCTGTTAAAAGTCGCAAGCACTTCTACAGCTGTTAAAAGTTGCAAGCACTTCTATAGCTGTTAATAGTCGCAAGCACTTCTACAGCTGTTATAAGTCGCAAGCACTTCTACAGCTGTTAAAAGTGCAAGCATTTCTACAGCCATTAAAGGATCTCGAAATTAAAAATCCCAGTCTTCACCAGAAGTGAAACATGTGACCCCGGGTTTGGAAGCTAGACGCTTTACGTCTCAGCCACCGCGCCAATATGCATTTTAAAAGTTATAATGATAATCTTGGTCGACATTCAAAGCAGTGGTGCATGAACGTTTTCAAAGGGTTTGATCGTCGTTAATCTTCAGTTTTAGCCTGATGTCTTCAAAGGCTGCCTGTTTTTGGAGATTTTCTCCACAAGCCAAACGTTGGCATGGACGCTGATTTGAACATGTTTGTTGCCAAGTGGAAAGTGACTGTGCTACGAACGTGTGTTCACCCTTACGTTATACCTTTGTGTCCAGTGGATGAACCGCCATTAGTGTGTATGCACTGGACTGGGAGACGCTGTAGGCGTATACTATTTGAACTTGTAAAACTTGAAATAACTTCTTTGTGAGCGAAACTAAATAAAAACTTTTATTACAAATAGACACATTCAACTTGAGATAAACGGAAATAAATGTAGTGGACTTAAGTAATACTATAAAATGTGTTCTGAACAAAATCTAATTCACTTCAAAAACACGTCATTTCACTCTGGCAATCTGGAGTCGTCTCTCCTACCTAAGACAGCTGACGACAATACCGCTTATCTTGCATCATTCACAACCAATCGCTAACTTTCTTCCCACCGTCTTGATAGAAACACACATACACTCCATAACACACAGCCATGGTCTATTTCAAGGGTGATGCCATTTCAAAACATCTAAAAATCCTTATAGACAATTTGCAACCATCTCACCACAGTTACATCAGATCTGGACCAAGAGGTCGGCTCCTCGCCATTAAGGCTAGAACAGAAAATCGAAAGACTCTTTTTAATTTCAGCCAGTGTGTTTTAAGTCCTTCGTCCACACCGAGAAATACATAGGACTCAGAAGAGCCCAATGAGGTTGTTCCGGAGTTCTGACCTACTTTAAGCTAAGTCACGTGATGGTTGAACAATGACCATGGCTTCTTATATTTCAAGCGCTGATTATGTGTTAGTCTATTTTTTCTGTTGTTCGTGTTTGCTTCTATATTGCTATTGTTATAGTAATAATAATAATAATTTTTTTTATAAAGCGCTGTTAACAAACAAAATGTAGGCTCAAGGCACTGTAACAACATTACAAACACAAGAGCTAACATGACAAACTAATCTAAAAAAGTTTTAAACAGATAGGTCTTAATGTACTTCTTAAAAGTGGTGTAGCATGTTGTCTGTCTGAGATCAATGGGAAGTGAGTTCCAAACCTTTGGTCCGTGAATTGAAAAAGCCCACAGACCGTAGCTTTTGAGGGAGAAACGTGGCACTACTAAAAGCGTTGAGTCCATTGAGCGCAGGGCTCTCTGGGAGACATATGGAGTAATCAGTTCTCTAAGGTACAAGGGCATCTCGTTGTTATATATATACTGATGACAAAGTGTGTCGACCTTGTAGTAAATGCTGAGGTGGGTAGTTGTAGTCAAACTAAATTCCATTGGACCAAACGAAATAATTTTTAGCTGCACAATAGAAATACCTTCGCTTAATGCTATTTCTTACCAGAGCCAATGTCCCAGTCTCGTCCTCCACGAGATGAGCCAAAGTTGACTTATGACTGAGACCAATCTTATCTTATGTAATACAGACGTTACTTCAAAAAAGAAGATGCTTACGTCCTACGCGTCATGCATTCAGCCATGCATATTAACCAATGACCCAAATTCTGCCAAGTCACTCGTTTTCCTGGCTAGCTCAGGCAACCCATTCCATGCTCTAATAGCACTAGGGAAGAAGGAGCATTTGTACAAATTTGTCCTAGCATATGGAACGAGGAATGTGCCTTTTTCTTTGTGTCTTTCTTGGTATTTTATTAAATATCTTAGGCCTATATATTACAGACGTTACTTTAAAGTGAAAACAATTACATCCTACGCATATCCGTGTGTTAATCTAGTCATGCATGTCAATCCTGGCTGATTTAGGCTGTACACTCCATTCTCTAATAGCACTAGGCAGTGCTTTTTTTTTTTTTTTAAATAGGTGCCGGTATTCAGTGATGGATTGCCTAACTTTTAACTACGAATAAATTAATAAACATTAAAATACAAGAAAAGTAATATTTTTTCCTAATATTGAAAAAGGTGCCGGTGCGTATCGTAATACTAATAAAAAAAAAAACACTGGCACTAGGAAAGAAGGAGCACTTGTACTAGTTTTCATACGAAGTTTGCATTATAATAATAAAGCTTGTCTTCGAGTCCAAAGATTAGTGAGGAATGCAGTTTTATCCACGTTGGACGCAGCCCCATCTGTGACCTACATAGTTTGCATATGGAGTAAGTAAAAAAAAAGTTCATATATTTCTGTCTTTTGATTCAGGCTTAAAACCAGTCCATCAAAAGCCGAGCTGAATCTAAAGGGAAGCTAGGCACTTGTTATCAGGGCCGGTCTTAAGCCACTGCAACCTATGCGTCCCCAGTGGGCCCCGTACTTTGTAAAATGTTTTACATGTTTCGGATGTTCCTTCAGAGTTGAAGATAATTACTTCCTAGTCCAAACCTCCCGCAGGACGACGGGGGATGGGAGCGGGCAGGGTTTGAACCCGGGACCATCGATAAATCTGAACGACAGTCCAGAGTGCAAACCGCACGACCAGGCAGCCATCGTACTTTCATAGGCTCCGCGCGAATTATTAAAATAAATCATTTTAACTTATTACTAAAGGGTTTCTAGAATTCTCCTAAAATAGTAAAATATACTAAAATCTCCTGAAATTATTAAAATCTTCTGAAAACTGATCCAAATCTTCTTAAAAACAGACAAAAATGTCATTTCTGGGTGTCATTCAATATGGAATACACCAATCCTACTAGCAATTTAAAAAAAAAAACAGCATTGTCAGCTTTCATTTAATAAAAATGTAATAATAAGGCGAGTTTTAACCAAAACAAGAAGTTCTAATTTTTCATTTACTTTAATAGTCACTGGCACACAAATATAGATCTAAATCTATCTCGACCTCTTAAAAAGCAACCAAAAGCGATATTTTGCTAGTTGATAGTAGGCATAAATCTTAAAGGCGGATCTGAATGTCTTTAAGCTTTTTGTTAAAAAACTACTATCTGCTATAGATGGCTCGGAAAGTTATTTGACAGTGATTTTGTACTTACTAAACTATAAATAAAATGCAAAGACGAAATTATTTTCAAATACAAAATCCTAATTTTCACTTATTATCCTTATCACAACCCAGAATAGGCCCCGCGCTATTCGTTTCGCACAGGGCCCCGCAATCTGTAGGACCGGCCCTGCTTGTTGTTAATCTTCGGACTCGAAGACAAGCCTTATTATGTATATGTATGTATGTATAAATACATATGGATGATAAAATTAGGATCCCTACATAGTATATTCGTGTGTGGTTTGAA